TGAATCATATTTTCATCTGAAGGCTTCAAATAAATTACCTTGTTGATATTTTCTATTTTAATTTCTTGTCTTTTCTTCTCCAAAAATTCGATAATTTCTTTGTCTTGAGTATTCATTAATGTGAAAACTTCAGTATCAATATGTGTTTGATCTAGTATTATAAAATCATATGAACCAATCACACTAAGTTCCGCAGTTTGCTTCTTGTAAAAATTAAGATTTGCATATTGAAAAAACAAAGCATTATTTTTTGAATCTTTGCAAAAGAGTTTTAATTCATCTTCAAGAAAAAGAGATGCTTCAAGTGGTCGATAAACTCTATATCTCTTTTCTTCCAAATAACTCTTAAATTTTTCTCCAAAAGTTGATTTCCCAACACCAATAGCACTTATTTTGTTAATTATTAAATTAAAAATCATCTGTTAAGAATTATTTTTACAATTTTGAAAATGTCTAATTACCTGTTAAAATAATAATTTTTGTTTATTGTTTCCTTCTTTTAGTAATTATTACTTGTTTAGGACATTTCCTTTTTAATCGACTTAGTGCTTCTTGTCGCATTTTATGAGCATATTCATTTTGAACATCTTTATAAATATTTTCATATTCATTTTCAATTTTAATTTGCTCTGTTTCTGAAAAAAATTCTCGTTTCAAATCATATTCTTTTATATTTTCAAGTCTTCTAATTAACTTTTTTAATGAAATTTCAATTTCATTGATATATATTTTAATTTTACAATCCATTTTACAAAATTAAATTTCTATTCAGTAATCATACTGAATAGAATAGATTTAATATGGCCTATATTTATGATTACTACGTTTAATTCTCAAGGCTCCAATTTTACAGTTTCCTTCAATTTTTATATCAAACAAATAAACAGTAGTATCTTCTGAATCATTTTCAAGATTTTCTATTACAACATCATCTAATTCAAATGAATTTTTTTTCAACTCTTTGTTTTCTAATTGTAATTTTGTAGATTTAATTTTTTCAACTACATTTTCTTTAGAACAAAGAATAATCTGTTGTTTTGAATTACTTGCTTCATTAATAGCATTTGAAGAATATGTAGTATTTATAACGAAAAATCCTACAGTACCTTCTGGCTGTTTTGCTAAAACTGCAGAAAATTCTCAAATATCACTTAGTCCAACCTTATATTTTTCCGCTTTATTTTTAACTTGCATAATGTAATTCATTGATCTATAATTTTCAAATAAATCAATTCTGCCATTACATTCAATTGAATTTTCATATAAAATTTTTAAAAGAAAAAATTCAAAATCATCTCCTTTTTGTTTGGTTGTTAACTAATAATAAAATAAAAATAATGAGTAAATTGTTGTCATTGCTTCAACCAATATTTCTAATACTAAGTACTATTTACGACTGAAGTCTAAT